CAAACACAGAGCCGCGAGCGCACAATCAGTGGGATTGGGGAGCTCCCCCCTATCAGGCACAGAGCAGGGCTGATCAGGGGGTTGGGGCGCCTTCCCCTGTCAGGAACAGAGCAGGGCGATAGGGAGGTTGTGGCCCCGGCCCCTGTCACTCACAGAGCCGCAGCCGGGATCAGGGGCGTTTGGGCGCTGCCCCCCTGTCACGCTGATCACGCTGATCCCGGTGCCGGGAGCCTCGCTGCTCCGCCTGCTGATCCGGTGCCAGGAGGCATATTACCCTTTTACTATATAGAATAGAGGCCTGGTGCACAGGTTGGGGCTGGCTGGTTTGCCCTGAAGGGTGTCCTCGATCAGGGTGGGGGTCCCCACTGGGGTGCCTGGCCAGTCTGGGTGAGGGGCTGAGGGCTGTTTTCCGGAAGCGGGTGACTGAAGCTCCCAACTGCTCCTTTTTTTCTTTTTCTTTTTTTTTATTCTGGGCCAGCTTTAGCTCTGAGGCCTCGCTGCTGAAAACATCGATACAATGTTGCGGTCCAGCTGGCTTTCAGTCCAGCTGGTTTCTGGGGTTTTGTTTAGCTTCTTATTTGCAACATAGTACATAGTTGCTTAGAGTTGCAGCTGAGAGGCCGGCAATTTAGGCAGGGAACGTTGGAGTCCGCAGTCACTGAAGCAAGCAAGCCTCCCTGCTGGCTTCAGTGCATGGCTGCCGGCCGCCATCTTGGCTGACAGTTAATTTGCATAAGGATATGCTGATTAGCCAATGGGAAGGGTAGCGGTCGTACGCTAATTACCATGTTTCTCTTTTATTAGTGTAGATTGTCAATACACATCAGAATTCTTCAAAACATAAATACCTTTGATTTCAAATAGGCAGTGGTTGTCAAAGCGTGGTCAATGAATTCCTGGAGTCCCTGAGACTGTCTCGGGGGTCTATAAGGGCAAAATTACCTTTATGGAAATAGTAAGACATGATTTGCCTTTTCCCTGTGTGGTATGTGCAATGATAGTGCAAAAACAATGGCGGGTAAAGTTGCCAGCTCCTTAGCACAAATCAAGGCCGGGCACAACTGTCCTAGGAGTCACTGTATTCTTCACAGTCATATACTTGCAGGAAACAAAAAGCCAGTTTTACTTAGGAATATCTTCAAATTCACTTATTAATACTCAACTTTTGAATACACTTCTTTTTAACATTTTATATGAGCAAATAAGAAGGAAACACAAAGCACGGGTACTGCATGGTTGTCTCAAGGAAAAGCACTTCATGCTTGTTTGAGAGCTGAACTAGCTGCTTTTTCCATGAAACACCATTCTTTCTGGATTAAATGATGGACAGAGTATGATTATTCAGATTTGGGTATCTGGCAGACATTTTCTCAAAAATAAACAACGTAAGCCTGTCACTTCAAGAAAAACAAGTGATAACATTTGTTACCAATGATAAAATTTGAGCTTTCAAGGGAAAATTCAAATATTGGAAAATTCTGTATCCATCACCATAAGCTTGACAGCTTCACATCTTACATATTTTTCTGATGAGATCAGGGAAGATATTAACAAATGTGATTTCTTTTGATGCTATATAATGAAAGGTGACAACATCTGGGAGACCTGAATAACTCACAACCAACATTTTGCAAGTGAACTATGCATGATGATAAAAGTCATGCATAGGTAAAAGATCCACTCAAAGTTCATGACAGGCCAATGGACTGTAATATCACAGAGTGGAAAGGGCCAATATACAGTTTCACATTCCACATTGCAATTAACCTTTAAGAAAATACCACTTGTTGGGTTTTATGTAGCAACAAAAATATCCACAATTATCTGAAAAGCCGATTAGATTACTCTTCCCTTTCCAACTACATATCTAATTGAGGCCAGAGTTTCTTCATATTCTGTAGCCAAAACAACATATCAGAGCAGGTTGAAGGCAGAAGCAGATATCTTCCTTCTATTAAGGCAACATTTAAAAATTTTGCAAAAGTATAAAATGGCCATTTTCCCACTACTTTTCGAAATGATGGTTGTTAATCGAGTATGTTAAACATAACATGTTAACAAAAACAAGTAACATGTAATGGCTTTATTAGTTAATTTTTAAATAAATTAATCAGTAAATTTCCTTAAATTTCTCAGATTTAATTTATATCTTGGTAAATATCAATAGATATAACCAATATAAATAAATGTTCTTTTTCAGAGTGTAAAGAGATCTGCAGACTAAAAGTTTGAAAACTGCTGATATAGTCATTCCCAATTTCTGGGAATCTAAAGTAAGAAAATAAGCAGACTTGGCATTATATACGTACAAAAATAATATTAAAAAATTAGAGGATAAAAAAACCTCTTGATATCCAACAATAAGAAAATGGATGGTACATTGATATTGATTATTTGGAACACATTGTGAAGACTTTTTGAAGATAAGGAATGCTCACCATATGTTAATTGAGAAAAGCAAGGTCTATAAAGCATATTAGCAGAGACAGTACTATAGTGTGAAAAAAAGACTAGAAGGAAATAGATGAAATGTTAATAAAAAATTTCTGGGCTACAGTATTATAAATACTTTTTTATTTTCTTTCTTTCTTTTTTTTTTTTTTACTGAGCATGTCCTACTTTTAAAATCAGAAAAATTAAAATTTTAGCAACTTTTAAAAACATTTTAGTACTTTGATTTTTTTAAGACCTTAACATATGTGAATGTCACCAAAAACAATTGCTGCTGTTATTATTAATAATATTGAAACTAATCAAGGCAGCTTACTATAGATAGAATTCTGAACTGAAAATTATGAAACCTGTACTCAAGACAGTGTTTAGCCATTAAACATCTCTGGTATGTTTGACAAGTCACTTAACCTCTTTGAACCACCAGAAATTATCTTTCAGGTCCATACCCGACCAACTCTATCAAATCTAAAGATTGTGCAAGTCCTTTGCAAGGAACATCTAAAGTAAAACAGTGCTTGGTGAACACAAAGACAGTGACCAGATGATGTTATAGAACTGTGCACCTGAAACCTGTATAATTCTATTAACCCGTGTCACCCCAATACATTCAACAAAAAGAAAAGAAAAATAAATAAACATAAAACAAAGTCAAACAGTGCTGCAGTGAAGCCAAGTCCAAAATCACACTCTTTATAAAATTTCCACCCATGCTGCTAAATGGCTCTTTAATTTCTTCTGCTGATTAGTGCAGCCTCTGTAAATAGTTTCCAGTGGAAGAGTTTGTGATTCCCCAAGTGGTATTTTGAAGAAGTGAAAAGTATTGGGGCATATTATGAATAAAAGGGGGTTGTGGGGGGACATAAGAGAATAACCAAGACAGCCTGGTGCCCCAAACGAAGAGAGTCCTTCATAAGTGTACTTCGTAAGTGCATAAAAGTATGGGAAGGCTACCTCTATGGAGAGGACAAAGCATTTGCTATGGAAAAAGAAAAAGAATGAACGAGAAGGAGAAGAGGGAGGGGAAAAAAAAGAAAAGCAAGACCATAGTTGTAATATAAGTACATGAGAGAAGAATATCTAAATGTATGTTCTATTTTAAAACTATACAGAAATATCTACCTATTCCCTTTAGCTGATGAGCCTTCACCCATTCACTGCTCATTGGCAGAGTTGGCAACAGTTAAAGACAGATCATTAAATTCCAATTTATCAGTTTTGTTCCTGGTTAGCAAGTCTGATAAAAAAAATCTTAGACTATAAAAGGATAAATATTGCCTTAAATTAAATATGGATAATTTTAGAAAGAGATCCCTTCATTTTACAGATTAGGAAAACTGAGTCCTTCAAAAAACTGAGATTGTAAGACTTTCAACTTATGCTCCAATTGTACTTTATTAATACCAATCACCCAATAATCTCTCTTTCTTCAAGAAAATACTTCTATGGTGATGTCTGTTGAAGGATTGCATGTCAAGGACAGGGACGTCCTCCATTGGGGGCTACAGTGCTCAGTACCACAACACAAAATGGTACAAGTTGGAATTTGGTTTTGAGATCAAAGGAAAGGAAACAAGCATTTTAATCTTTTAACATGTCACAAATATAATAACCGGCTTTGTCCTGGACTGGCTCTTTGTGTAATGTCTGGGCCTCAGTTTGCACATCTTTAAAATGAGGAAACCTATACTTCCTAAAGTCCTTTCTTAGAAAGTTGGATAATCCTAAAATCACTAGAAAATAAAATAAAATGTGTTTGGGGAAGGAGGGAAGTATGAAATATACCTAAAACGTGTATACTACATATGGTTGTTCAAATGGCCAATCTTGAGCCAAGAGTGGACTCTCCAGGGTCTTGCGGACACTCGAGGGCCCTTCATTGCATTAGAGAGCCATCGTCACACAGGAGGCCCCTTCTGGCCTGTGCTCCCCAGTTTGTTTCCAGGGGCCAATTGAAAAGGGTCCTCCATGTCCTCCTTTTGAATCTACAACTGGTATTTCCACTTCAAGGGGGGGGTCCTGCCTCCTGTCCTTCATCCCCAGGATCTGTCATTTAACCACTAGACATTTTATGGAGCCCTCCTATGTGCACCCATCACGAAGCACATACCAAGTTTTCAATGCACAACTGCTAACTTGAATTTAACTGATGCATCCAGTAAGACTCTCCTGAAGAAGGCGGGTGAAAGAAGACACCTCCTTCCCCACCCTGATCTCCTAGCACTGACAGGAGTGACACGTGGTTCCTGGGGGCTGGCGTGGCCGCCGGGCACAGCTGCAGCCCGCAAAGGGCGGCGAGCGGGGAGAGGTGGGCACTTACCTGGGGAACCTCTGCTTCAGCTTCCTCAGGCTCTGCCTGGTGGGAGGCACAGACACTAGGCACTGGGCTATCTCGTCGTACTGGGCTTTAGTCAGTATCATGTTGGGCCAGAGTCTGGGAGGTGGCGGGACAAGTAAAAAAACACCCTGGGCTCGAGCAGCCTCGGTGCCGGGGGACCAGGGGTGGGCACACAGGGGCACGGCGCGGGGCCCCCCACTTCCCTGGCGGGTCCCCCAGCCCTCCACCCTCCGAGGAACAGCCTAGGCTTCACCCGCAGCGCCGTGGCGGCGGGGGCGGGCTTTAGAGCAGCTTGCCCGGCCCGCGCTTTCTGGGCAGCCGCAGTGGGCCCCGCCGAAGGCAACGCCGCCATGTCAGTTAAGGGCAAACCAATCAGGAAGCAGCGACCCCGGCGGAGGCGGAGCCTAAACCTCCGCGAGCAGGTATCCTGGCAGCGACCACCTGGGATCCACCTGGGACGGTCCGAGCGCCCATGCTGCAGGTTGCCAGCCTCAGGCCGGGCTCACAGACCCGGCAGCCAGGGCACGTGGGGCCTGCGATCCCTAAGCCTGAGCCCGCGGAGCCGCTGCCGGGGCGCGCGGTTTGAATACGCTTCCAGAAGCGCGGGTTTTAAAGCGCCTCCGATTGGAGACGGACAGAGAAAGTGCCTTCCCCGGGACTCCGCGCTCCGAGGGCGGGGCCCAGGGCCGAACCCCAGCATCTCCGTAGACTCGGCGCCCGCCCAGCTTCTGCAGCTCGCGTGGCGGCTCTACGTGCTGGGAAACTAACTAGAAAACAAACCCGACGTCATCACTCAGCCCGTGGTGAAGAAGGCACCCCCACCCCGCCCGGTTAGGTGCTGGCGGGCTGAAACCTCTGCTCCCTTGGCTCGGTCTCCCCAGCCCGCGGGGCACAGTAGGCGCCGCACGAATGTGGGGAGGGAGAGTCAACGACGGACTGCTTTCCGCGGGGCCGCGGGGCCGCGGGGCGACCTCAGACCTCTCGAGGCACTTTTCCAGGACGTCAGACCCTCCTTCCATCGCTTTAAAAAATCATTTTGTTTCTTAGAAGGCCACGTGTTGTGTTTCTTTTCAAATTTTTAATATGTTCAGCAAATGAATGAAAAAGCGTTTGGTAGAGAACGTGTGGGGTTTCCTGTTTGTTTTCAATCTGGGGTGAGGCCTGGGTTGGAAGTTTAGCTTAGATAGGCCTCCTTGGATAAATTCCTTAATCCTTCCAAGCCTCAGTTCCTTTGTAAAAAAAAAATTAGTAAGGTAGATGTTAAGCTTAAATAGGAAAGCAAAGGGCTCCTCGGCATATTGTACAGCAGAGAGCCTAGGTCAGTGGTCAGCAAACTATGGCTTGCGAGCCACATGCGGCTCTTTGGCCCCTGGAGTGTGGCTCTTCCACAAAATGCCACCTGCGGGCGCGCATGTTGGGTGCGATTGAAACTTCGTGGCCCATGCGCAGAAGTCGGTTTTCGGCCTGGGCGAAACCAGTATACAAGACGGGTGTGATGGGAGAGTTGGAAGGGGTCGACCTCAGCGAACCCTACCTCAATCAGATTGAGGACGTTTTTAGCAAAGGCCAGTTTAGGAGTACCCTAATTAAGTTAATAACAATGTACCTACCTATATAGTTTAAGTTTAAAAAATTTGGCTCTCAAAAAGAAACTTCAATCGTCGTACTGTTAATATTTGGCTCTGTTGACTAATGAGTTTGCCGACCACTGGCCTAGGTAGACTACTTGATAACGAGGGGTCACGGGGACTGGCGCTTACCAGCTATTGTTTAACAGGCCCCTAGGCTTTGACTCACTTAATCCTCTAACTTCCTGTGAGGCAGGTACAAAGCCATTATCACCTTCCCCCTCCCTTCCTCCAGGGTGAATAAACTGAGGCCTGGAAAGGTTAAGCAACTTCCCAGAGGTCAGGACAGCAAGTAAGCAGCATGCATAGAGCTTAAACTGCTGAAGTTTGGTTCCAGAGTCTGTGCTCTTGCCCACGCTCTTGTATTTAATTACGACACCAAGTAGTCACACTCTCTTAGGCCAAAGGGTAAGCATTTTTTTTGCACAGGAATAATCTACATTTCGAAGAATCTTTTTAAAAAGACTCACCACTTTATTTTCCCGGTAACAAGGACGGATCCTGAATTCAGAAACCATGCTTTTGGTGTGTTTTCCCCCCTGAATATTTACATCAGAATGTTTTCTTGCCATATGCTTTGCATCTAGCGCTGGTTGTGTGACATTAGTACATAACTATTTATTTATGGCAGCGTGGCCTGGAGTTGCCACCTGGCTAGTTTGTTGCTGACCCTGCCATGACTTTTACATGAAAGCTCGCTGACGATAAGCAGACACCACTTGATCCCCCATTCCATTCTCCCTCCCACTTCCCTCTTTCCGATTCACAGCCAACAGATTTTTATAGAAAACGTCAGTTCAAGGATGTTTGCACGAGTTATTTTTTATAGTAACTCTTCTCTCTGGCTCTTGTCCTGCATTCACCCTCACAACCCTTAAGGAACAGGCCAGGTTTGTTTTTCTGTTTTTATTTTTAACATGCTGGCAGTTTACAGTTTTGACCCAAATCCAGTAGATTGTTTAGAGTTAGTGCCAGGGGAAAAGCACAGTTATGTTGCTGTTTTTGTTGGCAGTGACAGTAGCGTTGTTTATTAAGCACAAAATAGAAGCAAAGCAGAAATGTGTTATTCTTCTTGTCGTCGTTGTTGTTTAGGTGTTTTTAAATGTTCTTTTCATGTGAAATGCTTGGAGTAAGCCAATTATTCCTTTGAGGCCCCCTTTCCACCTCCCTTTCCCTACCTCCATCCTGTCCCATCTCTTGCATCGCACTCCATGCCCCTCATCTGCCATTACTTGTCTACTAGCAAGAGCTGCCTTTCCATGCCCGACGTCCCCCCCACTGTTTCTCAGTCAGTCAGTCAGTAATACCAACCATGTGCCCGTTAAATGAAGTAGGGTCATGAAATGAAAACAATACCAAACTAAAAACCCGAAGAACTGGCTACCTGTTTAAAATTAGCTATAAATGGTGTGCCCTTGAGCAAGTAGAAAGCTTTTCTAATCCTGAATGTACTCAGTGTAACCCCAAGAAATGGAACTTTATCGTTCTCATAGGGAGAAAGTATCTAGGAACATGAAAAAAGCTTAGGAAATCGCAGCAACAAAATGTGTCAGAGACTAGTGCAGCTCCCTGGGAAGATGGGCTGGAGTGAATCACTTGACCTCCTGGACAACGTGAATGATGAACAGTTTTAAAGGAGTATGGGGCTTGGCAGGAAGGCAGCAGAAGGTCATTTCAAGAAGATTTCAAGAAGAGTGCTAAACACAAAGGACTAAAAATAAGAGTGAGCCAAGTCACGTGCATGGGAGAGCTATTCTGGCTAGAGACAGAGTGAAAAGGAGCTGAAGATGCTTGACCTTGGAAAGGTCAGTCACATTTTTGAACAGCCTGTTGTTCCCCGAGTCTGCCAAATCCAATGTGTGTTTTTAAAAGTCAGTGCTGACTATTATTTTTACTATATTTTAAAGTCTGATTCTGCTCATGGAATCTTGTTAAAGTCAACTTATTGATTATTTTGAAGAAAAATAATTGAAGTTTTACTCATTGAAAAAGAAGGGAGTTAATGTTATTTAAACACCTATTATACTCAAACATTATCCCCTTAGCCCCTGGTTTTATAGATTAGGAAACTGAGACTCCAAGAGAGCAAAAGATTTGCCTGATGGACCCAGTTAAGTTGCAAAATCATGATTTGGTTACAAGTCTGTCTAATAATAGAGCCTCGTGTTCTCCATTGCAGTGTACTGTTAACAAAGCAAAACCTCTTTGGTTGATTATCCTCAGTTAAGCATTGATTTTCTGAACTAGCCCGCTACTTTCTTTGGCCACCACCAATGCCTGCTGAAGAAGCATTCAACCTTTGTTTTTGACATTTAGTCATAGCGCACTTTTTTGAAGAAACGGTTTGGCCTCTTTGACTAGAATAGATTGCATATTTTTTTCTTTGCCACATGAAGCACCACCTAAAGTGATGCATCTTTTGAAACCGCAGTTTACATCTCCATACTTGCCATCCACGCATGACAAGTCATTTTATCCTGGTCCCGAAATATTATGAGTACTTAGTGGACAATAAAAAGCCGAATAGTTCACTTGTTGAGGCTCGCAGCAATTACTCAAATTAATGACTTAAGGAATTAAATAGGGCAGACCAAAAGCCAAATGTGGTCGCTTCATGCAAGTCGATGGTGATGAACTCTTTGTCCAACCAGGTGGCCTGATTCCAGAGGGAGGTTACTTGTTGATGGGAGTATTCACCCAAGGCCTGTTACAAATAGAAACCATGTTCCACTTGCGCAGAATTCAGAATGTGCATGTTAGTCCATAATACTAAGAACCAATGCTCAATGCTGTGGGTAGACACAGTGCTAAGCATTTTAAATACATCTATCTTCCCTGAATCCTCAGATCCAGTGTCAAGAGGTAAGCACTATTATTGAATTCATTTCTAAGGTGAGAAACCTAAGACTTAGAGAGTAGGTTTGTCCTTATCAATTACTCGAAAATGAAATTTAAAAAGACAGAGACATATGAAATGCAAGCCCCCAATTAGTGATTACACAATTCAACAGACATAGAATTACTCTGTCAAATTCATCTAAAAGGTTCTAAATAGTTATTCTCAATTTCTGTATTTATCACATAAAGACTCATAAGAAAATTTGAGGATCAGCCCTGGTTTACCTATCACATTCTGAGTAGCACTGTACTATGACCTTAGAAAGACAATTTGTAAGCCAGGCATACGCAAAGTCTAGGATATCACACTTCCACGTACTCTTGGAAGCAAAGTATAACCTGTTCCTTTTAGACTTCTAAGGATCAACTATCATTATTATTACCATTCTTCTACTGTATTTAGTTCTTCTCAAGTGATGCATATTTATTAAGATCAGCAGTGCAAATCCTTACAGCTATTTCATTATACACCCTATAAAGTTAACGCCATGTGTTTTTATAGCATAAAACCCAATTTCTTCTTGAGATAATAAACCCATCAGTCAGAGCTCATATACCACTTCTGTTCTGAATTACACACCCAACACTACTGGCACATGATAAAGGCTATTAATTGGCATCTACACATTTACTCTTACAACATTTGACAAGGATAAGAAACAAAAGTAGTGTTTTTACAGGGATATTTTCTCTTGGGTGTTTTTGTGTTCTAGCAAAGGGAGGCATGTGAACATGTTCG